CAGGGAGGGCCTGCAGGTTTTCAGTTTAGATATGTGAAAAATAAGTTATTTTTCAAAAGTAAACAGTATCACAACCAAGAGGCCGAGGATTTGGTTCAGATGAATTAAAAAAAAAAACGTTTTTTTTTCATTGTAGTTCAATATAATTACAGTTTCTCTGTTGATGTCACATATTGTTTTCCTACATGCACTGTATCTTCGGACTTAGTGTTAAGGTCTGTTCAGTATTCACCAAATGCCTTTCAGGACTGTTGCCAGAAATAAGCTTTTTTTCTATCCAAAACTGACCTGGAGACTCTAATTCATTCACTTACAGCATCTAGCCTTGACTACTGCAATTCTTTGGTTTACTGGGCTTGTAGCCAAGTTGATTGGCAGGCTCCAGCTTACTCAGAATTCAGCAACAAGGCTTCTGACCCAAACCACGCCGTCTTTATATTCTCCTTATGCTGCAAATCTGTATAACAGTGTAAAGGAAACTACTACAGTTTTCTTTACACTGTAATCTTATGGGTGGAATTTTTCTTTCATTCTGTGTGTCAGCTGTCGTGCTCTTACAGAATTTTTCTGAGCTGAATTGCCATATGTTCTATTCTTGCACTTACCGCAGTTCAGTGCAAGGTCGTTTTCATCCTGTATCCCTAATTGGTGGAATTTGAAGTGAAATTCTGCACTAAATCTGATTATTTTATCTTCCAGTGAAGATCTCTTGTTTTTATTTTAACACATCGTGTTACAGTTTCTATTTTGTCACTTTTTTATTGTGGGATGTCATAAAACATTCAGTTGTTGATGTTCTTTATTACTGAATACAATAAATTAAAAATAATATGCATACGTGGCAGCTGATAACATGATCAGCAAGGGGAAAATTGGATCCCTCTTGTCTCCTGAACACAAGGAAGAATTTCAGCCTTCACTCAATCATATTTAAAATAGTCTGCTTGATAAATGTAAGAATGGGTAAAAGTTTTCTCTCTACCTTGATCTACAGATAAGGCAGTACGTTGGTTCTCATTTCTTTCTATTTTCCTCTGGTAGTGTCATTTTCAAGCACAAACTATCAAATTTTCTCTTGCCATGAAGAGACAGCAATCCTATCTTTTTTGCAACTCCTACTGGCATAATTTAAGGCATTCTTGTTGTTGTTCCCAGTTTTTTCAGGTTGTTTTTACATTTACACTTGATAAAATACCCTGTTCCTGTGACATCTTTTATGGTAACAAAAACAGAGATCTAAATTTTCATGTACTATGTTTACTAAAGCCTGCACCTCTAATAAAATGTATTGTAGTTACACTGCAGTCATTAGACAGTGACAGTTCCACATCACTTTAATCTTAGATGTTTGAGTCTTATCAACTGTTTATAAATCAGAAAATTACCTAAAATCTTTTGTCTGAAACATGCCACATAAATTATTACCAGGCACAGAATAATTCATTAGGAAAGATGCAATTATCTACACATTCTAGGTTATATTAATAGAAAAAACAATGACATAGCTTGAACCCTTCCAGAACAAAGTGTTTTTTTAAAAAACCTAATTTAATAAGGAAATAGCTTTGCATATGGTCAATGAAAATTTGATACAGCATGGAACTTAACAACAGATGTTTGACAATGAATATTTCATGCTAATTAATAATTCTACTTACTAGTCACAGTTGATAGTAATGTGCATCCTAGAGCTCAAGGTGTCATAGAGATACAGGCATGACCTGTTACTTCATTTTGAAAATTTCCTTCCGGAGGTCAAGAGATTATCTGAAAATCGTGGCCATCAGCTAGGCTGGGAAGAACTGCTTCACTCAGATTCTCCAGATAGCAGCCCAAATTGTGGGACTTCTCTTTGCCCAAATCTTATGGAAGGAGGAATATGTTGTCTGGAGAGCTTCTCAACTGACTCCTGGTTTCCCCTCATAAGTGTGTGCTACTAAACTAATTATTCATCAAAATTGATCTCAATTAGGGGTGGGTACATCATGTCTTGTCTATAAGTTACCAGAGTGCAAGACTTATTCCTGTTTTAAGCTTACAGGTTGTCTATGAGAGAGTAAATGAATCTTGATGCAGCATCAATTAACCTACAAATAAATGTGATCAGGCAGAATAGTCAGGGCAGAAGGGTGTATACCAGACTGGTATTTCATGAAACAGCAATTCAGGATTTTGGTGTAGTACAGGAAGACATGAAGACATTTTCCTGTACTGTTGAACTATGTCCTAACCATGGTCTTGGCTGCTCTTTAGCTCTGATGTAATGCTTGGAGACCTTTTATTTTTGATGTTACCTAACCATTGTTTGTAATACTCCATAGCCTAACATGCTGTGTATAATAGCTGTATATATGCTGATAATTTCTTGGAATACATAAAAGTGAGACACTGGTGTTTGACGTATATGATTATTTATTTCCATAAGGCCCCAAATATCATTTTCTCTAAGTCTCAGAGTCAATGCTTCCATGACCCTCAGGATTCTTGGCTGATCTCAGAATCTGACTTTACTTTCACACCCATCCTTTCAAAAGTGAAGCGAATTGAGCACAATAAGCACTGGAATATGAGAAGAACAGAAGGGTAACTTTACCTAACAGCACGTACAAAGAAATTTCTAAATCGTAGATTTTGTTAATCATCACATGAGTTATGAAGGGCATTCATTATTCTCCCTTCTGTTTCCCTTATCATCATTTGTAGCCCACTGGGTGATATTTCTCTATATTCCTTGGTTTTTAACATCTAGTACTCATAGTATCCAACCTTTTTCTTTCTTTCAAATATTTGAGAGTTAAGTAAGTGAAGGAGATCTTTTTGTTGCTCTCCGTTTTGTCTGTTGTAGCTATGCACAAAAAACTCTTTGACAACTTCTGTCTGGTGTTCCATTGAGGATAGGTTCTAAAACGATCATATAATGACTTTTGTTAAATTTTAGCACCTGTTCACAGAATGCAAATTAAACACTTCGAAGTTCAAATGTTTTTCAAACTTCATATGATCATATTAATATCCAGTAGTGTAAAATGGGAAACCAGATCTTCCATATATCTTTGTCAATCTTTTCTACTTGAATTTCCACTTGCAAACTAAAAACAGATTTTTAATTAAGCAAGATTTTCTGAGCACCTGGGTCATCAACACAGTGATAGTAATTAAATTCTAGCCTCAGTTTCTACACATGTAATAATAAAGTGCTTCAGCATTTTCGTTCTTTTGAAATTAATTGAAAAATGTACACTGCCTTACTTTGTTGATGCATCCACCTCCACTCCAAGCAAATTCTAATATGCTGAAATTATCATATCTCCAACTGAAACTCATAGGGATCACAAATGGATCAGATCATCACAGCAGTTTTGAAGCAATTTTGCTAGTATAAACATATAAAATTTAGTTTTAATAGAAGACGTACTTCTGTATCTTTAGAAGTTAATTAAGTAACCCAGAAGATTGCAAATAAAATCTTCCTTTGTGTGGCATTTTGGAATCATTTAGGTTGGAAAAAACCCTTACGATTATCACATCTGACTGTCATCTAACAGTACCAAGGCCACCACCAAAACGTGTCCTTTAGTACCACATCCACACATTTCTTAAATACCACCAGGGCTGAGGACTCTAACTCTTCCCTGGGAAGCCTGTTCAAATGCCTAACCACCCTAACCATAAAGTTCTTCCTAATAACCAGTCCAAAAATCTCCTGGTGCAATTTAAGGCAATTTCCTTGTATCCTATCACTCAATAAGTGAGAAAAGATACCAGCCTTCACTTTGCTACCACCTCCTGAATCTGGAAGCAACCTGTATAGAGGTAAAAAAGAATAAAATAAATGAATGTGATTAATTTCCAGAAGTAGAAGTGAAAGATCTATCACTGACTTACAAAGTAAGCTCACCATTTTAGGAATAATAGATTGTTATGTATAGCAGGATCTTTCACATCTGTGATTTGAGGAGTGAAGGAGAGAAGACAGCAGTCAACTTGGTGAGAGACCATATCAGAAGTCATTACAGCACTCTGCTACTTTCTCCTTCAATGAAGGAGGGGAGAAGGAGGCATTGCAAGCAAAGCATTACAAGAGTGAAAAATATTTCAGCCCAAGAATCCAGAGGTCTTGTAGTAAACTGTGCCAAGATCAAGGCAACTTACATCTCAGCCAAATCATTTTGAGGAAGGTCACTGTTTTGGAAGGACAACATTGCTTGTAACTGATGTGAACAGAAATACAAGAGCTGGGAGAAGAGGTTCTTGTTTTGGATGAAGAAGCAGTTAAAAACTTAAGTATCTTCATCATCACTGACAACTGCCCTATAAAATGATGTTTGGCTTCAGAATGAATTCATTAGAGTTGAATGAGGGAAGCCCATTTCACATATCTTCCTTGAAAGCAGAAAATTGTAATGATTCATATATATAAAAAGAGTACACCATGGACGTGAGAGGAAATGAGCTAGCACAGGTGAGCTTCTATATATTAAATAAAAGAGAAGTAGCAGCTGCTGTTACACATGTAGCATTTAAATATGATTTAGCCCTTCCTACCTGCTGGCAAATTCCCACTGTCCCACACTTAAGAGCAGATCCTGCTTGTTTTTCATGCTTTCATTTGCACGTCCTACTCATCTACAGGCAGCTGGGGATTACATGTCAGGTTTAAGCCCTGAGTTTCATGCCTATAGTCACATGCCTATAGCCACACACATAAAGGCACATGACTGCACAGAAAGTAATTGCAGACATCACTGGGAAGCAGCTGCATGCATGTTCTTTGGTACGTGGTTATAAGTTGTGTAGACTAAAGTTGTGGAGACAGACTTGAAGGGAGACATCTCCAACATTGATAAAATGTAAGTACAAAAGACACATCATTGGATGGATATTGATGATGTTGTTTCAGTAATGACATCATCCATAGACTCCTAGTGTCTTTGCTTTGCTTCTCTATAGTGATCACAACATAAATTGCTTGTCTTGTTTGACTTCCTTGTTCACCAAAGTTGAGCAGATTGTCGCCGTTTTCAACGCTTCTACCAGACAAAAAGCTTGGGACCATTTCTCGAAAGCCCAGCGAAAGAACATAGACATTTGGCGAAAGCATTCTGAGGTTGGTGATTTTATTATTACTTTCTATCCATCATCTCACAGCTGGATTGACACAGAACGAGTGTGATTGTAGCTGGACATAGTGTATTCAGCAATATTTACAGCTGCCATTTTAGCTGTTAATCAACTGGCCGTTTTACAATCTCATCTACAGTATGAATTGTTCCCATTGCTCTCATAAGGATAACAGTCATTAAATAATGCTAAGACAGAGAGCAGTGTGTTTTTATTTTTCATGCAAGATTTGGGAGATCGTTGGAGGAATATGTTTACTATCTAAAATAATGAACTGAAGTAGTGAAATTAGTAACGCTATTTTCAACTAAGAAGAGAATTAAGAATTATTAAAGAAAAACATCTTTTTAGGAGTCATCGTGATCTGGTTTCTAAAAGAGGATTCTGTAGCCCAGATTTTTTTCTGGTTGTACCATCACATGGTCATCCTAAGATAACTTTGCCAGAAAATAATGTAAGAGAATTTCTTAAATAAAATCTTGATCATATTCAGTCCAGAATTACGACATACTCCTTCCCATTTGTTTTATATTTTTCTTTACTAAAATAGATAAATCATTTGTATTGATTCTAAATATATTGCTTGCAAAGAAAAGAGTGTAAATGCAATCATGATGCCACACAGAGTTAGCAATGTGGGAACATGCATGTGTGACTGTCATAAGCATGAGCAGAGGAATTGGGACTCAAACTCTCGTTGCTACAAGTGGCTGCAAGGGAAGCAACAGACCTCATCCTATGTTTTGGTCATCCAGCTTTGTTTTTTAATTCAGTATATACGCTATGAACCTGTATTTTAAAAAGTAAGTACCGCTGTCTTTGTTTTCTTTCTTTCTTTCTTCTTTTTTTTATTTTTTATTATTATTTTTTTTAATACGAGCAATTCACACGCAGTTGGCTTACCTTCACATAATACAGTATGTCGATTATTAGTATCACAGTCCTCTAAATGATTTTTCTCTGTCTCAGAATAAAAACTTTAGAAGGTAAGGCGCACTTATTTAATTATTTTGTAGTACACTTGGAAAATGAGTGTTGTACACTTAGTTTGAGAAACACTAAGTGCTGTGATATAAATCATTTGGATAACATTTTAAGTGCCCATTAACTAATGCTAAATTACAGTTGAATACCAATGGCACTAAATGTAACATCCACATGAATACCAAATGAATTCTTTATTATCGGCGCTATTATGGTGAATGCCAAATGACTTCACAATAATGGGACACTTAAAATAAAATGTTAGCATAATTTATTGGTACAAACTGTATTTTGCATTTTGTTCACAATATTTCATAAAAGTAGTGGTTAAAGCCTTGGTTTAATTGGAAGCTGGGAAGTTGGGAGCTGATATTTGTCTTATCTTTCTGAAAGGTATGAAAATTATGATTTGTTAGCAGTTTATTTCAATTATGTTATGACTATCCCTTCTTAAACTTACTTTCTATAAAGGGATATGGTGTATCATTGATTTGCTGACTACAAAATAAAGCAAATTGACAAATAAACAAATGTTTAATGGAAGAGAATGTTTAAGAGTTGATCTTTCTAGAAATGCTGACTTACTACTTGCTTTTTCAAGTATTATTGCCTTTTGTTTTTCTAAAGGGGAGAATAGGATAATAAAAGCAATTCAAAAACATACAAAGTCTCTCAGTAAATCAATATGTTTTAGAAATGCCTTTTTTTTCAGATGTGAAATATGATGGAAATGTACCAAATTACAGCTTTGATTTAGCTTTGATTATCTGCTGATTTGCTTATTACCTGATCACCTTCCCTTTTTTTCAGACTTTAGGAAAGCTTTACTAGAAAGCCAAGCACAAAGCAAACAGTTATGCACTTTAGTATTCTCCATGGAAAATTATTGGCTTTACAAATAGTGTAGAAATTGAGGCACCAAGGCCAGTTGTTTCCTCTTCAGGAGGGAACAAAGGGGAGGGAACCTTTTGTCTTCTCATGTACGTAGCCAGTATTCCCCCACCCAAAAAAAAAAGTGCAGGTGGCATTTTCTAATGCAAAAATAATCTTGCTAATTTCTTCCAGACGTGTCATCTATCGGGTGAGATACTGATTGACCATTTTAGTCTGTTGAGTTATTTTTTTTTTCAAATCTGAAATCACTTTGATGTAGAACGCCCACTAATTAGTCTCCTTGCCTTTGCTGCGATTAACGGGCATGTATACATTTATCAGAGTATTTGAGGTCTCCTGATGAACCTGGGCACAGCTCAAGGGAAACGCCTTTTCTTTTTCACACAGGCCCTCACTGATGGCTTATTGTTAATTGCAAGGAGCTGTGGTTGGGCTCTTCAATTCCATTTCCTTCTTTTTTGTGCCTCTTTCTTGTTTCGAAGATTTCAAACCACCTCTTTGGGAATTAGGCTCTTTGTTGGCAGAAAAATTAGCTGTCTGCAGGCTGAAAAGGCCTACACTAATCACGGTGCATCATCCCCGTGTTACACCTGACAGGATTATTAGGACAAAATAGAGTTCTCTCAATCTTCTCAGCGCTGCCTTTAAAAAGCCAGCCAATGCACCAATGCCAGCCTTTCTGCTGGGAACAAAGACTGTCTAGACTCCCACAAAGCCCTCACGTCTGATGATCCTTTCCCCAAGGAGACACGCACTGGCTTCCTGCTGCCTGCCCTTGTGGCAGTCATCTAGATACCAAGTAGTTGTCTCCCATCATGATGCAGAAACTTTCAGGACAGTGCTGTCAGGCTGGGTCTTTCAAACCCAAGGCAATCTGGGCATTGGGGGACGAAGGAGAGACTGCTTTGGTCAGCATTAAAAACCTAAAATATAGGATGCTCCATCACCACTGACTGCTCCCAGTTGCCCATACGGCCAGTGGGGAGAACTAGGCAGGTTTAGAGTACAGTTAATCTGATTTTTGATAGTTATGTGATGGATGTGAATTGCCCAACGTGCTTGGGCTTTTTACATTTCTGTGAAGGATGTGTGTAGGAACAAGTTTTAGTGGAGAAACCTACATTTGACCAGAAGAATCCTTCCCCAAGTGATAGTGAAAAGCAAGAATTAGAATTCTTTATACCTTAAGAAGGCCGACAATTTCTCTATCAATCAGACTAATTCATACCAGTTTTAAGCACTATCTCTGCTGCTAAAACATTCCTCTGTGTTTTGTTGAACTAAATAAAGAGCACCTGACATGAAGACTCACTTTCTCTCTCATTTTGCCCAAGTGTTACCTTTTATAAGTTCTATTCTTCTTTGCGAAGAATTCTTCATGATACTGTTCTTATAAATATTCACAGGCAACTAGGTAACATTACAATAACAAAGTATGTATAATTAAAAATCAGAGCAGTTTTAAAAACAGATGCTACTGATAAAGTGGTGACGTTATGGAAGTTAATACTGACAAAAGATCATTTTGGATTTTAGGAGCTCCGAAATGCTCACAGCGAACAGCTCATGGGAATCCGCCGGGAAGAGGAGATGGAAATGTCTGATGATGACAGTGGTGACAATCCCAGTAAAAAGCTGAGAGTAGATGATTCAGGTAAAGCCTAAATCCCACTATAATGTCTCCAAGTACATACAGCTCTTGTTTTAAAAGCAAACAAAAACTTACATATGAGAAATGACAAATTAATAGCTGATTGTATAAAATATTATTATCTTATTTTAAATCCTCATGAACTAGTTATCTGAATGGTACAAGCTGTCTCTATGAGGTTTCTCTTGCCTGCTATGATATACAATGATGAAAACTCCCTAATTCTGCCCATGGCTGAAAGTATCATGTGTCTTTAGCACACTGCAATCCTGCATAATACAGTTTTATTCCATGGTTGCCAAAACTAACTTACTATGGAACCACTGAAGTTCTATTACAGTCAGCATTCTCTAAGCCTTACCATTCCTAGCAGTAAGTACACAGCCTCTCTAACAAATACACTGTACAATTTTAACTGTGTTTTGTGAAATTGAATTTAAACAGTACATATTTTGCAATACAGTATTGTGTACTGCATTAATCTGATATGTATTAGATGGCTATCATGAAAGAAAGAACCATGGTGCTTGTAATATTTGGAAAGCAGAGCAACTTTTCAGCCTCTTATGAGTATACCCAAGCTATCCAGTTTGTACACTCAGAGTTGGCTCACTAAATTACTGGTAACATGATCTGGATGGAACCTTTGCTTATTTTCTTAACATTGGCTGATAAAGTTGGGAGTAGCTAGCAGGAAACTTATCTTCAGAAAGTAAATTTACAGAAGCTGAAGCCAAAGCAAAACTGTGAACTGCTAGCTAGCAGTGAGTTTTACAGAAGGTGAAGAAGGAGAAAGTAGTAAAGAAAGAAACCTTGAGTCTGAAGAGGACAAGTTTGGTCTATACTTCTATGTGTAGAAGGTCTATACTACTATATGTAGGCACCATATTCAGAAAGGAAAGAATATCATCCCTTCAATGAGTTGAAGTGTTCATAGACAAACTGACTCCTCAAAATACTGTGTGGTGAGTTCAAATGACTCCAGAATTAAAGACTGAAGAAAGGACCATCATTCTAGCGAATGAAGTTTTACTGAAGTATTTCTCTTGAAGGGAGAGCTAATGTTTTTTTTTTTTTCTGAAAGAAAAAATGCATCAATAAAACCTCTAATAGGCAGCCTTAGTTTTTGCTTGTTTTACTATGTGGATTTGGAATTTCTAGAGACCATTAGTGTGAAGCTGTGACAGTGGGTATCTGCAGGCAGGGCACTGCTAGCAATCAGAGATTATTTTGAATGTCTTATCATTTTACCTTGACTATGTCCAATCTTGTGGAGAGAAGTCACTAGAATTAACAACAGAAAGATAGAGTCAGGAATACAAACAGCTTGTGCTCCAGAAAAGGAGTAATGATGTTTTGAATTGTCATACTTATCAGTTCAGCTTGGTTTAACATATGCATGCCTAGGGCTGAGTATGCAGGTCATTCTTTTTGCCTCTGATTAATGACATCACAAATGAGAAAGCATGTTTGTTTTTCTTCTATAAAAAGGGACATTTCTGTCAAACGTCTTGATATCTGAGATTTCTACTATGTACCAAACTACTTCCATTTATTTGTATTGTTATAACGTGGCACTTGACACCACTCAGTGATGAGTGATGCAAACTAAATCAAAATTTGGCAGTGAATCCACTTGAGTACTTGTCCATCATTGTCCATTCTACCATTAATCATCCTCTTGATCTTAGTGGAGATGATCCAGCCTGCTGTATACATACAGTACTCCAGTTCTAAAATTATGTTTTATAGCTTTCTTCTAACATTCCACTCTCAAGTCAAGCATGTAGGTTTGATTCATTTGCCACTGACAATATGAGGAACTTGAAGTTTTTGTATATAAAATATGGACAAATGAAAAGAAAGTGAGAGAAGGGCATTTATTTTTCATTTTTATGTACAGTATTTTTTAAATTATTATTGGTGTTAGCTTTCTTTTCTTCCAGAATCACTCCTTTTTATCACTGGAGTGGCTATTTCTATTCATAGCCACCTCTGTTTTACAAAGAATGTCTTCTATTAGGAGTCTTTCATGACAAAGAAACAATCCTGCACGATGAGAAAACACTGTCACTTTCCTTATTTTTAACCCCTTCTCTTATAATGTTTGCCTAAACAGTTAACCATGGGGAGGGCAGAGCTTGAGTAACACAAGGAGTATATTGTCTCTCTTCATTTCAAGGACAGAATGTAACATAAATGCTTAAAAGTCTAAATCCAAAAATATCTGAAGCAACCAGACATGATGAATTGATTTGGATAATTCCAGACTTTTGGACTGCCTGTTCTGCCATCCAAAGGATTTTCCTGTGGAGTTTACTTTTCAGCCTGGCCAATGCATTTCATCATCTACTTGAAAGTAGAAAGAACATCTTTGGGAGGTTACCATTCTGAAATCCACAACAGGTGACAGACATTCCCCCTGACTCCCACAATGGTGTCAGATCTTTTTTTTCATTAATTCACCTAGTTAAATCACGGGTCTGTGAAGGTACAATTTCAAATCAATTCAACAAATCAGATTGGTTCCTAGGACCTCATTCTGTCTTACTGAAGTCTATAGTTTCACCAGTGTAATTTTTTCTGTTACTCAAGCCTTTTTCATTCAGAAATAACACCACATCTACAGGCATTTTTAGATGCTGTGGTGCTGAGCGTTTCCTGTGACATCTCCTCACTGCAAATTCCAGGTATTTGAGACAAATGATGAAAAAGCTGTTACTAAAAGTGGTTTGTGTCCTTTTTTTCAAGCTGTGGAAGGTATTAAGTCTTGCAGTAGAGCAATTTGTGTTGTCTGTTAGAAATCTGCATGTTGTTTGTTTGGGAAAATTCAGGCTTGCTACTTGCTTGTGGCAATAGGGAATAGATGAAGAGGGACTTGTTGCAAGGTTCATCACTCCATTCTAGACTTGAATCCTCTACTGGAACAGGCTGTCCAGAGATGTGGTGGATGTCCTGCCATTAAAGACACTCAAGACCAGGCTGGATGGGGTTCTCAGCAACCTAATGTAGCCGTAGATGTCCCTGTTCATTGCAGGGAAGTAGGACTAGATGACCCCTGGAGGTCCCTTCCAACTCAAAGGATTCTGTTTCTATGATTCTACTTTCATTTGCCAATTGCTCTTCTCCTACTTGTGAACCTGATTTGCTGATATCTTTGGCCCAGCAGCACAGCTGGAATAAGAACTTGGACCTTTGGTCTCCTGGACCTGTCTTCCATCCTCCAGTATACAGGACAGGGCTGCCTCCTGCACAAAAATCTTCTACTCTTCCTGGTGTTTTACAGGTTGTTCTCCTTTGGGCTAGTTGGTACTCTACTCCACCATGTACAAGTTAAATCTTCAGTCAAAGTGAAGGCATCACTACCTGCTTGTTCAGTTGGATAGCATCTCAAACAGATGCCAGACCCTCCTAAACACTCCAGAGAATAGGGAAAACAATAAGTTAGCTGAGCCAGCATACATGCCTAATCACAGGAATCCCTCCCTCTTGATTTACAGACCAAAGATTATTTCCTTTATGAGAAAAGATGGCAAAAGGCTGACCTGAAAGTAAGTGAATCTGTTCTGTGGGCACAGCTATTCCTTCAGAACAATGCGGGTTGTTTTTTTTTCAAAATTCAGTCCTTGAACAGTGATTTTTCTGCGTTGTGGATTCTATAGTTTAAAGGGACAAGAGAATTGCTAAAGTTGGGAGATTGCTAAGAAAAAAAGAAATGATGATTGGCAACTCAGTTAATACATTTGAAAGTCAAGGTGCAGCTACTGAAGCGTTATATCTGTGGAAAAAATGAGATTCTGTGCTGAAGTCTAGAGGATGTAGGAAAATCTTTAGAAAGATCAGGATTTATGGATGCTTCATCTCCCACCTGCTGGCACTGGGAGTAAGGATCCACATGTAAAAGCTTCCAAAGTAATTTTAAGAATTAGTGAAGTGAAGCTGCATGTTGTAGGAAAGAGCTGAAGTTTGGTTTATACCTAGAAGTCACCTGTAATTTTATTTTTAAGGGGAGATGGGTTAATCTCTTGCTTTTGCAGTTCTCTGTGATGCACTATTAATTCGAACAACTCCAGCTGCAGTGAGAGATGGCAGCCAGCACCAGGGGAAAGGAAGGAACACGTGGTGCTTGCAAAGGAACACAGGAAAGATGGAACGGAGATCCCAGAGCCGTTGGCCAAGTCCCAGTTCTGCTACAGAATTCACGCCAGGACAAATCAATGTATGCATAGTATCTCAGTATCAAGTGGAGGCAAGGATACTTCCTTTAATTCCCCCACTGGCTGTCTTGTCTGCATGGATGATAAACACCTCAGAATAGGGCTGTCTCCAGCCAAATATTTGGAACAGCCCACCCTTTAGGGCCCTGGAACATTTCATTCCATTGTATTACCTGATGATTCTGAGCCAGAAGTGGCCCAAAAGGCCAGCAGTATCCTGGGCTGCATCCAAAGATGGGTGGCCAGCAGGGAAAGGGAGGGGATTCTCCCTCTCTGTTCTGCCATCATGAGGTCCATTTTTGCATCCAGGCCTGGCATCCCCAGCTCAAGAAAGATGTGAAGCTGTTGGGGAAAGTCCAGAGGAGGACCACAGAGATGATCAGAGGGCTGGAGCACCTCTCCTATGAAGAAAGGCTGAGGGAGTTGGTCTTCTTCAGCTGGGAGAAGAGGCCTCATTTCTTTATTTCAGTACTTGAAGGCAGCTAATAAGCAGGAGGGGGACTGGCTCTGTACATGGTTTGATAGTGATAGGACAAGGGGGAACGGTTTTAAACTAAAATAGGAGAGATTTAGGTTATACGGTGGAGGAAATTTTTTACTCAGGGGATGGTGAGGCTCTGGCACAAGCTGCCCAGAGAAGCTGTGGATGCCCCATCCCTGGAACCATTCAAGGCCAGGTTGGATGGGGCCTTGAGCAGCCTAATCTGGCAGGTGGCAACTCTGCCCACAGCAGGCAGTTGGAACGAAATGATCTTCAAGGTCTTCTCCAACTTTAGCCATTCTATG